ACATCACGCTCACCGCAGAGCAAATCGCCTACATCGACGGCATCCTGCCGTTTGACAAGGGCTTCCCTAATAATTTGCTGGTGTGTTTTCCCTCCCCTGCGGCGTGGATGTATATACATCAGTACTGATCTGGGCGTGCTCACAGGGTGAATACGGCGGCCCGTACCCCTTCCTGATGACCCTGTACGCGACGTATGATCGCCAGCCGCTGTTGGCGCCGGTAACTCCAGCGTCGCAGTAGAGCGGAAATTTAGTTTTGAAACTGTCTGCGACTCGTAGAACCTGATATCCTCATTGTACGAAAAGGGCTGTTTGGCAGGCAATGCAGGGAGTGTTACTAAATCTCCGCTCTGATGCTGAGGAGGGAAAATCCACAGTATGAGTGACGGTGATAGAAATGTCAAGCACGCAGACTCAGGGAGGAATGAATCTTAGGGTCGCCTTGCATTCTTCTCGACCACTGAGTTGAACAAGCCGACATTGCCGCAATGAACTCGAGCTCCACCCAAATTTTCACAGTGTATCATCGGCATCCGTGTCCTGGACTTCCTCGTCCCGAATCGAACGGGATTCCATAGGATATGTGAAAAGAAGCTATCAATAGAGTGTGAGTGCGGACATCCGCCACCATGCCTTCTCCACCTCTTGAGTAGACAGTTAAGCAGGAGGTGAATTGAACGGTGATAAAATTGTACATCGGTCGAGGCTGCGATAGAATTGTTGTGTGTGAATAGTCGGAAGTCGGACAATTCAGACTTCATTTGTCCAGGAATGAAGGACCTGATTATCTGTGCAGCATGTGTAGGAAAAACATTCAAGTACTTAAGGCGCACGCAACTCTGAGCTGCTGAATAAAAAATAATGTCGCGTGTCGCGTCGAACGTCAATGGCCTGATCCCGAGTCGAACGGGGTTCCCACTGGATATAGTTACGATATTTAAGAACCGACTTCCCTTGGGTGGTTTGCGGAAACGTATGTATGTGGGCCGGAATACAGGCGACTGACTGTGGATAGCTAGAATCGAAATTCAACACACGCAATTGTGATGGAGAAGGACATGACGGAAAGCAGAAAAAAGGACGGAGATACATGGGAAACTGCCTGGTCCCGAATCGAACGGGATTCCCACCAGAGATATTATACCCTCGATTTACTTGTCCTAGGCGCGGACCATCCGCCACCAGGCCTTTCTCACCTTGTTCCATACGCCGTAATGCTCTGGAGCAATTCGGCGAGTCTCGACTTTCATTTGGATGATTTGCGAGAGTACGGACGTATGCGGGCATGGATTCAAACGATTGACTGTGACTAATCAGTAAGCGAGGAACCCATCGTTAACTGAAGTTGAACGTACACATAGGATTTGTCGGCAGAGAAAAAGAACGAGTTTCCACCAGAGGAACGGCCAGGTCCCGAGTCGAACGGGGTTCATCCCACCGGAAGTAAAGCGACACAATGTGGGGCTGGGCGTCCGCCACCTGGCCTTCCAATGCTATGAAAAAACCGCGTGAGGTGACGGAGAATATTACGGGAATCATCCAGAGCGAGTGCGAGCAAGTCAGCCGTAGATTCGCGGTAGGAAAATTGTGCATTTACAGGTGCAGATCAGCAATCTCGTCCCTGGTGTTCTGTCATTCCATAGCGCCCGGAAACTGACAGTAACAGAAAACTTGTATGTATTTTCTTTGGATCCGCCATGCAAGAATTTTGCCAGGCCAGAAGTGCCGAACAAAATCATCACTGTGAAATAATAAAAGGAAAAAAAAAGGTTGGCGAGTATAGCTGTGCGTTTGGATTTTGAAGTCCTTGTTGTGTGCGGAGAAATCAAGGGAAGCGGGACCGGTTGCCACTATTCGGGTTAAAAGCCATGCGTACTCGTCAAGCAAACAATAGCACGCCGTCAGAGTGTCAAGGAAATAGGAAGAACAAGCCTGTCGAGAGCCAGAGGTGTGCATCACCAATCTTATCCCTTGCAACGACGGACATCCTTCATACCAGGGCGCCGAGAGCATGATAGTGAGAGAACGCTGATACTTTCCACAGATCCGTCAGACTCAGATACAGATCCGCCAGACTCGTTACGCATATCATTGTGAGCCACGGGGAAGTCAACGTTCCGTACTTCCCGTGGGGCGTCAAATGTACTGTTTGACAGGGCCGTCGCTGTGAAATGGAAAAGAACAAGGTCGGCGAGTACAGCTTTGCGTTTGATTGAAATTAAAATTTGAATTGTGAAAGTCCTTGGAAAGTCCTTGTCGTGCGCGGAGAAATCAAGGGAAGCTGCCGGATTCGGGTATAGAAAAGCATGTGTACTTGACACGCAAGAAAAGTTTGAGCCCAGAGTACAAGGCGACACGTGTTGGCATTCGGAAAGAACAAAGATGATATTCGGCCTTGTTGTGGCACCATGCACAAACTGGGCCAAACAACTATTGTCTTTGACTCTCCGCTTGCTCTCCGCCAACAATGGACGGCGTGTACATTGTTACGGTATGCGAAGCGGAGTGTATAAATGCTGGACGGCATACACAAGTCAAATAAGACTTCCAGTCTCCCCAGCCTCCCAAAGCTTCTACGCAGCTGCTTCACATCTGTTTTTCCCGTTCGCTCTATTTCACGGAGACTCTCTGCATTTCGCATATTTCTCAACGACCTTCACGTTTGGTGAGTTTTCCTTCAAATATCGCTCGAATTCGGACTCATTATTTGCCCTCAGACCTCATCTCATTTTTTCCCCTCAATAATCGCCAGACGATTCGTTTACGCGTCCACCTCAAATGTCGTCCTCAGCCATCCCCCACGTTATCGCATTCCTCACCCGGCCTTTACTCTCCGCCTCTGCGCCCGCATCTGTCACCTCCGCCCAGCTAATCCTGAACGCCTCGCTGGCACCTAACGGCACTTTCACCCTCACTTCGAGCACCTCGCAAATTCCGCCTCCCCTGCACGCCGCATCCATCGGCGCCGGAATTCCCTGGACTGCGTGGTTTAACGCCCTCGGTGGCGGACGTGATGTCCTTTTGTTTTACGGCCCGGGTTACCTCAAAGTCCGGGTTGGCGACGCGCAGGTCACGGACGTCTGGAGCGAGGAGACGCCGGGCAGTGTTGTCCCCATCTCGCGCCTTCGCGGTGCACTCCTCTCCGCTCGTGTACGCAGCCTCAAGCGCGCGGAACAGCAGCAGCAGGCAGAACCTATTCGCGCCCCGAGCCTCGTCTCTGATTCCGAGTCATCCGAGGATTCGTTCTCGGACTCGGACTCAGACTCGGACTACGCCTCCTCGACGTCCTCCAGATTCACCTCCTGCTCCTCCTCCGACTCGCTCACCTCCGCCGCGAGCTCACCGCCCCCCACGCCAGCGAAGACTGCTTCGCTCATGCTTCCCCCTGTTCCAACTTATGTCGTCCTCCCGCGCCGGTCGCAAGCAGCTTACCGGGCGCCGAGGACATCGAGTGTGCGCCCTGTCGCTGTGGACCGCGCAGTGCGCCCCGTACCCGTCGACCTCTCGAAGAAGGACACAACGGCATACATCTACCAAGGCGGTGTCACCCGCGTCATGACCGGCGGTGTCCTACTTGGCCCGCGCCCGCGCTCATAATCCCACCCTGCACGCTTTTATCCTTCTTCAACGCACGACCTCTTATGATCGCTCTCGCATTGATTCGCCTTCCCGACACCGAAACTGTAGCATTACTCTTTATTTTTAGATCTCTGTGTCTTGTAGCTCACACCGTCACGTACGTATATTAATCTCGGTAGGTATATGCATTATTTGTAATATCAACGGCTTTTTCTCTTTGACAATTCCATAGAGGAACATCTTGTTTTGGAGCGTACCGCATTCTTATGAGCCGCAATCGTTCCAATTTTTACAACAAGCCCTTTTCACTGCCGTTTGAATTTTCTGTTAGTCAAGCTTCGCTTGAACGACGAACTACAAGGAACTCGGCACACTCTGTCTACCGCGGAATCTCCTTCAGCTCGCAACGTCGTCTTGTTTTGGACTTGTGCAATCTCACGGAGCGTAATCATCCCAGCTTTCGCACCGAGCCTACCTGTCAGTCAAGCTCCGCTGCTACTCACTTGATCACGGAGGAAACCCTGACAAACTGATTAACCGCAAGGAACTTGATGCGCTCTGGTCAACGGATCTCCAAGCCTCTATGGATTACAATGACATGGGATGAAGCTCTAGTCTGTACTCAGCCAGTGGTCCCAGAGAAGGATTGGACCAGCTGCGCTGGTAGCGGTACTCGACCATCTCGAACTCTCGGCCTCGAGACCAGACACGGCGGCTCCAGGGTTTCAAAGGTATGTCGTGACTCCGCAGCAAGGAGTCAAACTTACGATTGTATAAAGTATGTGCGACGATGAGAGGTTCCCTCAGTAACCGAACCCCGGCCCCGGAGTTCTTTTAGACAGTCTTGAGGAGTACATGTACGATAAACTTACAATTCTGCAGTGCGCGCTGGTTCAACCTGGTCTTACAGTAGCAGGATTTGGCCTTTTGCTTCTGGGAAAATCAACCTAATTGCTACCTACTGTATACTTATAGCGGGAGCAGTGGTAAGTACGTCCGAACCGAATATCAATTCCAAGTTCAACCAAAATTCAGCTGACGACTGATTTCCGGTCAAGAGACGAGGCCTGCCTCTTAACGGGTGTGAAGCGGTTTCTACGATGATATTCAGAACACTTCGCCCCAGGAACGATCGCCATCTGGGAGTCATTGGGACGAACATGAACTGGCAATGGATGGTGCAAGACAACACGCGCAAACAACCGCTCGCGGCCCGATTGGGCAATTAATATTTTGGCCCAGCACTTTCTTAAACACTCTTCTTATTCCCAACCCAACCAATACTCATCGATCATCTCGCACCCTTCCCATCATTGCGACCAGCTCATGAACCACTTTGAAACATCAAGTACACCTAATCGATGATTATCAGATGATCAATAAGATTTTCGGCGAGCCTCAAAGAGGGCCGCAAAAAGGAATGGACGCATTGGGAATTGAACCCAACACCTCTCGCAAACATCATATAGCTGTTATGCTAAGCGAGCGTGATAACCAACTACACCATGCGCCCGATGGAAGTTACCTCTTTCTCCCGATATCACCCCCAACGTCAACCTATGCTCATCCGTCCTCATTTGGTCCTCATCCACGAATATTTGCTACGTTCACGGCCATATTGTTCGTATACATATTCTTTTGATGCTGAAGTGGATGAATCCTGATGCAATTTCAACTGTGTGCTGGCGGTCAAGGTATCGGAGGGGAAAAAAAAACAATAGAAAACAAGAGTGCATATGCCTTGGTCCCGAATCAACCGGGCGTCCCATTACAATGGCGGATAGGAAGAATCACATCATGTTGACTCCAGGTCTTTCCCTCTATGGTCAGGTGCCTTGTTCGGTTGGTTCGATTTTCAAGGGCAAAGTGACAGCGCTGAGTGATGACTCTGATGAGAGAGAATCAGATCAACGCGAAGCTGGACTGCGTTGAGAGTCTCATGGGGCAGAGTAGAGCATAGTGCAGATTTGGAATGACGGGGCGTACAGTGATGAAGGTTGTCAGCTCGTTGAGAGAGAAACAAATCAAAAAGAAAAGAAAAAAACGTATAAGATGGTACGCATGGCCAGTCGAACAGGAATCCCAGTATGGACAAAAGCTTACGCAGAGTGTGTGCGGACCATCCGCTACCGGGCCTTTCCCTCTACGTCCCTGTATTTTGTCAGGAGGGTTGAATTTTGAAGGAATTTGAGTGCCGACGTAAAAGGCCCTTCTAGGGTGGATCGGTTTTGTCGATGGAACTGGAGTCCTCAGGCTGATACGGCCCTTAACCGTGACGGGCACTCAGCTGCAAAAAGCTTGGAACACCGGCCATTGCCAGAATCAGGATTCTTAATTGAGAATTATTCGTGGAGGTGGGTTTGCTGGTGAAGAGAGAGCGGGAAACAAACGAGCTTGAAATGAACAGAACTTGAGAACCGAGTCGCAGATTCGAATCGGATCATCCGATTCATACTCCGACAGCCTCGTATTATAATAGGTCATAACAATAGCAACCGCTCGTCACACACCACCACCCGAGAACGGCTGGCGCAGCGGCTGCCCTTCTTGCGTACATAAGGATATCTCCTCAGCCATAATTCAGCAGGCCTCGAAAAAGTAAAGAGCGGGCTCCATTTGAATGCCGGCAGCGGCTCGCGACCCATAATATCTCGCCTGCCTCTCGAATTCTTATCGCATGGAACGACATCGCACTGGCCACTCACACCCTATGGGGTTCTGTCGATATTCATTCTCCCCATCGCGAGACTTCTCGGGGCTGCTGAAGCCCGGGCTCGAGCGTGCGGGCACGAGATTGCTCACTGTCTCGCTCACTGTCGACCTTGTTGGCGACTGGCACAACGTCTGCGACGTGGCGCGACGCGAGCCAACGCGGAGCGGGACGCGTCACGCGAGCTGCAACTACATATCTCGAATGAAGCGCTCAGAGCGCTGGTAAATAAAAAGACGCACTTCCCAGCTTTGCCGCACCTGTGCCAGAATGATGGGTTCTGCCCCCAAATCTGGCAACATACACGTTGCCTTGGGCCAATCCACGTAGCGCTGGCTCTCCCACATCTCGAACTTGGCGCCTCATCGACTACATTAATATTGTATGTCACGTCTCTTGTCACCGTTTTCGATTGCCAGCTTGCTGATTGAGAGTCAGGGTTTATTAATTTGTGCTGGACGATTTCGATCACGACTGTAGTTCAACGAAGTTCGAGAATCTGGAAAAACCCAAGCAAGGTAAGACCGGAAGGAAGTAGGGGCCTGACCTCTCAGCTCGCGGGTGGAGCTGGCTCCGCGGTTCCACATTCCCGCCCTCGCCCCTGGCCGAAATCCCCTCTTGAGTCTCAATGTACCTAAGTCGATCGAAGACCTCTCCTGACATGTCTTGGCTCCGCGCCTCCTTGCCCAGCGCGTATAAAGCACCCTCCATTTGCACTCATTATCCCCACAGAACGATGTTGTTTTCTCTCACTAATCTGTGCCGCAGCGCACTGGCACTGGTCCTCCTCTCCGGTGCTGTCACGGTCAACTCCCAGCTTCAGGCGCCTGCCTACGACCCCAGTCCTTTCAGCTTCATCGGCAATATCGATGGGTGAGTTTGTGTCCCGCTCTGATTCGCGTTGAACCCTACTCACTGACGAGCGCTATGTAGCATGACCGTCAATGGCGGCGACGGCCCGCTAGCTGGCGGCACGATTACCGTCAACGGCTTCAAAATTACGGTTCCCAAGGTTCGTGTCCTACCAGCTCTAGACGATGCTCTTTACTTATTCGCCGATAGAATACCCGTGTAACTTTACCATCCATCACCGTCGCCTGGACAGAGCTCTTCAACAACGGTCAACCCAACCTGCCGCTCCTCGGATCCGTCACCTGGGAGGGTACAGTGCGTATCGTTTTGCCCTCCGCCCACTCACGGTATTAACACTACGATCGTCAGGTCTTTGGCAACAACGTCAAGGGCGAGAAGATCGCAGGGTTGATTTACATCACGCAACTCTCGGGTCTGCAGTCCACCCAAGGCTTCATCACGAAAATCGACTACGACACCGGTCGGTTCACGATTGACGGTGCCCTCGTATGCGTGCTCAACGATGTTTGTCCCTCCTCGCTCATAACATGATCATTTACCTGACACTCATTATTTTCAAGCCGTTGGGCCGCTTCGGCAAAGCATACAGCGCTCACCCCCTCTGGTCGGTTGATGCCGACAATCCGTCGGTCAAAGCTACTACGGTATGTGAAGTGTTGTGCGCGCTCACCATCATGTCGCTCAACATTCCGCAATGTAGGGTTTCCCTATTTGCATTCCTCGCAACGCCACCGACAGCGAATGTCCTTTGACCAACCGGTATGTGCACTCCAACTCTGCCAACATTGTGCTATGTTGACGCTTTTTTCAGTCCTAAAGATGGCAACGGCAAGTACCAGACCAGTTTCACGTATCCCGACCCTGCGAAAGTTGTTGCCAACGGGCTCAACCCCAACATCATGGCGCCCCTCGTCACTGGAGACTACGTCACGTTCGCCGGTATCAAGACTCCGGACGGTGTATGTCGAACAATTTGTCTCAATCCAACCGACACTAAATACTTTTCCAGGTTTTCGCGGTGTTCGAGTTGGAAGCTAACCTGGGAATCTGGACTCTCCCTGGGACCAAGCCAGCGTATATCACGGTTGAGGAGGCGATCTACGGCGTCATCGACAACAACCCTGACCTCGAGACCGCCGAGACTAGGGCCGTTGCGTTCGGTACTGGTACGTGAACTCCATCTGACGGTCGCGTTGAGAGCTCATTTTGCTTGTGCAGATACCGGAACGGCCATTGAGTGGTACGCAATTGAAGTCGATCCTTGCACTGGTGAGTCCACCGAGCGGCGGCTTGGGTTGGCCCAGCCAGCGAGCATCGCCCCCGTTGGCAGAGTCAAGTACCGTCTCGGTAAGGTGGATGCGTCGCCCCTCACTCGCGAAGTCGGTTTCCGGTACACCAATGGAATATCTGCGGTCCGTTCCTGTTTACCTCCATTCATCTATATTATCAACTTACGCTTTCGGCCATTCTCTCAGGGACCGAGAGGCCTCACCGCGGGCGAGTTCATCCAGCCTATATTCGACTTCATCTTCCCGGAGCTCACCGCTTTCGGCGGGCGCCAAATTCCTAACCAGTTCGACACGCTCCCATTCCTCACTCAGGGATCTGGGCCGCTCGAATTCGGGAATTACCTCACGGCGCCACTGGAGACGCCGCTCATCGTTGGCCAGCTGTCGCCCTGGCCGGGAGCCTCTGCACCTCAGGCCAAGTCGTGCCCTCCGCCCGTAACCCCCGCGCCTACGACCCCCGCGCCTCCGACGACTCCCGCCACGCCTCCGACAACTCCCGTTACGCCTCCGACCCCTCCGAAAGATGTCATCACCATCCTCACCGCGACGTCAAAGAACGGCAAGGGCCAGACCACCACGTCCGTCACTGCAAAGTCTGACAACACCACTGCGGTTCTGTCGATGGCAATTACTGGTCAGGATAATGTGAAGGCCACGGTTATGAATAAGCTCGCGAATGGTCAGTTCCAGCTTGACATTTCAACCAAGGGCAAGCCTACATCCGTTACAATCACGTCGAGCTTGGGTGGGGATCCGGTGACGAGGAATGTTTAGGAATGTTTAGGGTGAAATATGGTGGTGACGATAATGTCTATGATTTATGCCCATAGAGCTTGCGAATATATTTGTATCCTTTCTCCTTCTCAAACGCCGCTTCAGCTGCATGTTCCGAGAGTAACTCGGCTCACAACCACCGACTCAGCCAAGTAAAATCCTCAAGTACTCGAAGGGTGACGCGTTGCAATGGCGGCCCTTGTCGCGGTCAAAAATAACAGGCAAAGTGGATAAGTCCCGTGTTCAAAGCAGGACAGTTAATCCCGCTCAAGTGGCAAATCGCAATGGATGTTCAAGACCGAGATCTGCAGTACTACATATGACATTTAAGGCGTTCTTGGTCGACCCAGGGGGTCTCCAGCCCGAACCCCAGCGGCAAGGGGACGCCAGGATGTCGGTCCTCGTTCGGGATGTATCTACGTATCTACGCAGCCCAAGCGTGGCGCACATCCTTATCACCTTGCCCAGGAAAACACCAGTCCCATGCGTTCCAGCGGCATCCCAGATCCGAACAGAGACCCCCACGCACATGGGCGAAGGCCGCTGAACATTTCTCAGCCTGGGGAGCGTTACAAGGCACACGGCACGAATGGCTGCAAGCCCGATTTTCGGACGTCCCCAGCTTTCTATGAAAGGCTGCCGGGGGGCCCAAGACAGGTGACAGCTGCACTCGTCCGAGGCTCTCCCGTATGGGTAGCCGCAGGCCAGCGAATCAATGGGGGGATTTGTAAGAGGAGTGCCCAGCCGTCGCAATCTAGGTATTCTGTATCGATTGTGTCGGCTGGTCAACTCTAGGCGAGGTGATGAGCAGAGGTCTAATGAATGCATAGAGGCGCTACTCACATAAGGAAATATTGCTGCTCCCTT